GAGAGTGTCAGAGCTGGCTCAGAAACACGTGTGTGCACGTGTGTGTGTGTGATGATGGGACGGGAAGGTCATAGCTCTTGCTTTTCTTTCTCTTTCTTCCTGTGTGCACTGGTCGGCACAAAACTGAGAAGAGAGCCGTTGGGGCCAGGAGAACCCTGGCAGCAGAGGGTGAGGGCCCAGCGTGTGAGGATGAGGGTTTTATTTTATTTTTATTTTTGTTTTTTGAGTGGGAGTCTCACTCTGTCGCCCAGACTGGAGTGCAGTGGCCGCTCCCGGCCACCACAGCCTCGACCTGCTGGGCTCTGGCGATCCTTCCGCCTCAGCCTTCCAAATGGCTGGAACTACAGGCGCACGCTGCCACGCCCGGCTAATTTTTGATTTATTGTAGTGATGAGGTTTTGCCAAGTTGCCCAGGTGGGTCTCAAACCCGCAGACTCAGGCAATTCTCTCACCTCGGCCTCCCAAAGCATGGGATTACAGGCTGAGCCACCGAGCCCAGTACAGGATGAGGGTTTTAATCCCGGCTCTGCCACCGCAAGCTCGTGACCTTAGGGAAGTCACCTCAGTTTCTTCACTTGTCGAATGGGATTGAGGCCAGGCGCAGTGGCTCACACTTGTAATCCCAGCACTTTGGGAGGCCGAGGTAGAAGGACTGCTTGAGCCCAGGAGTAACGAGACCAGCCTGGGCAACATAGTGAGACCTCATCTCTACAAAAACAAAAATTAAAAAAACTAGCTGGGTGTCGTGGCGTGCACCTGTAGTCCCAGTTACTCAAGAGGCTGAGGTAGGAGGACTGCCTGAGTCCAGGAGGTTGAGGCTGCGGTGAGCTGTGATTGTGCCACTGCATTCCAGCCTGGGTGATAAGTGAGACCCCGACTCAAAAAAAAAAAAGAGAAAAGAAAAGAAAATAGGATTGACAGGTTTCCCTGTGATGGGAAGGTCAGGTGCCCACCTGGCTCTTGGCAGGTACCTGGCAAGTCTTCTCCTTGATCCAGGCTGGATTACAACCAGGGGACCACCTCTACCTACTACCCTCCACCTCCTCACTTTCGCTTTCCGAGACTGGGTCTTTAAGCCTGACGGCGTCAATGTCGTCTTGAGACTTGCCGCTGGCCTTGTGGGATTCCAGAGCCTCTCCGGGTGGTGGGTTAAATCCTTATCCTTGCCGCTTCTGAAAGGACCCAGAGGACCTGCAGCCCCCGGGGCCCTCCCCACTGCCCCCTCTGGCTTGTGAGTTTATATCTCCTCGTCTCTTCAGGGACTAAGTGGCCCTGGCATACAGTAGGTGCCTCATAAATGTTTGTTGGATGAAATAGACGAGGCATCAGTTCCAAAGGTAAGAAGGAGCCGCGGGGGAGACTCGCATCACACTGTGTCTGTGTCACGTGGGAACCCAGGGGCCTCAGCCACCTCCTCACACTCCTGTGGCTCTCAGGAGGGGTGAAGGGGCAGTGTCCTGTGAGGCTCTCACCTGTCCTGAGGGGTCTTGGGGGAAGGAGCTGGCCCAGTGTGTCACAGCCTGTTAGGGAGCACAGTGGACAGTGAACCACAAGTGGATCAATGCCCTGAGGAGAGGATGGCCCCTCTCTGGGGGGGGGGAGTGACGCTCACTGGTGTCACACCAGGCTCAGATCTTTGATCCGACAGATGCTAAGCGCCTACTGTGTGCACGGTGTGGGTCCTAGGATGGGACACAGAACCAGACCGAAGTCGCCTTTCTTGGACTGAGGGGGAGACCCTCAAGTTTAGCGTCTGTGGCTGAATAAGCTTAAGGCCTTCAAAGAACCTGGTACGTATCCCCATCCCTGGGGCCTGGCAGGGACATTCCTGATGCTAGCGGGACTGGGTGACGCACATCTGTCCCCGCGGTGAAACCTGCTCCCGTATACACTGAGAATCCCCCTCCTGCCTGGCGCTAGGCTCTGGCCTCTGTGCAGGTGGGCATCCCGACAGGTGACTCCTCTCGTCCTGAGGACCCGGGGCGGAGGCCACTCTCTGCCGTCTCGGAAACGAGGACCTGGAGACTGAGGGATGGGGAGGCCAGAGCTCAGATTGAATCCCTGAGATCCACGGGCGGGGGGGGACGCTGCCTGCTCTGGCCTATTTTTAGAGGGAAACATGTGGGTCAGCTGGTGAGACAATGGAGCGTGTACCCTCACAATGGCCCATTGTTCCCACGGTGGCTTCAGGGCCAGGCCGGGCCCAGCAGCTGATCCCTGGTCACATTCGGGGCATAAGGATGCTCCGTGCCTGTCCATGGATTTTTCCAGTGCTTGTTCTGGGCAGGAAAGAAGGGTTGAGCCTCTAGGGGAGGAGGGGCAGGGCGATGATGAGCCGTGTGTGCCGGGGGATGAGCCCTGTGTGCCGGGGGACTCGTTGTGTTAGGGTGATGAGGCAGGTGGCCCAGAAGGACCCCGTGCTGCCAGGGCGCCAGGCCTGCACTACACTGTGTCTGTGTCGCCGCCGTCACCCTGCAAACACCCCATGTCCCTCTGAGGCTCGGGCGAGGTGTTTCCTTGGACAGAGGCACGGCGGTGGCGTGGCCTGCCCGGGACTTGCTGGCTTCAGGAGTCTCATGGGGAGGGCCGGGAATGCCCTGCCTTGAAAATCACTGGCCTTGTGGGATTCCAGAGCCTCTCCAGGTGGTGGGTTAATCCTTATCCTTGCCACTTCTTTTTTTTTTAATGATAACTTTGAATTGTTTTATTTTATTTTATTTTTAGTTGGAGTCTCACTCTGTCACCCAGGCTGGGGGACAGTGGCATGCTCCCAGCCACCGCAGCCTCGACTTGCTGGGCTCTGGCGATGCTTCCGCCTCAACCTTCCAAGTAGCCGGAACTGCAGGCGTGCACTACCACGCCCGGCTAATTTTTTATTTATTGTAGAGACAAGGTCTCACCAAGTTTCCCCAGGTGGGTCTCGAACCCGCAATTATCTGGGATTACAGGCTGAGCCTTCTTGCCTGCAGCCCCTGGGGCCCTCCCCACTGCCCCGTCTGGCTTGTGTATATCTACTCATCCCTTCAGGGACTAACTGGCCCATGCAAACAGTAGGTGCCTAATAAATGTTTGTTGGATGAAATAGACAAGGTGTAAATCTCAAAGGTAAGAAGTAGCAGAGGTGGGATTTGATCCCCAGCCTAGGCAGACAGTGCGGGGGAGGCTCAGATGGGTCACTAGCAGGCCTGGGAGCCCAGGGGTTGCAGGCACAGCCCCCCAGGAGGCAGGCGGGGCCCAGGCTGTTCTCATCTTACAGATGCAAACTGGTGAGGGGGCGACTTGCCCCCACAGGGCTCCTAAGTGGTGGTCTCTCCCCCACTTCTGCTCCAGCGTGAGCTTGTGGACACTGACCTTGCCCCCAGCCCACACAGCAATGACATGAGGGTCCCATTACGTTGGCTGCTGGAAGCAGGTTCTAGACTTCTGTGTTCTCTCTCGATGCCTCGTTGACTCTTTGGAAAATAAATGCCATGTGCGGACCTGAGGGGGCCATGTGAGGCCCGAGAGGGTGCCCTCGGCAGGTGAGGTCTCACGAGGCAAGGAGGTCTTGCAGAGGCTGGCTGTTGAGAGATCCATCAGCCGCTTCTGGCCCATGTGACTCTGGACCACCGATGTCACTTCCCCGGGCTGACGCGGACCCTGTGACCCACACAGGGCTCTTGTGGAGGATGGGGATGTGGAAGGCTGTGGCTCGGCGCTGCCCGGGACCTGGAAGGTCTCGGCGTCCTGTCCTCAACAGTTTGGCAACCCTGTCTCCCCTAATTCGCTGGGGGTGCAGGGGCATCTCACAGGGCAGGCACTGCTTTGGGTCTTGGAAGTCGCTCAGGGGAGATGGGAGGCGGGGGTTCCCGGGAGCTTCTGGGTGGCTTCAAGGAGGTAGGAACCCAGGTGGGCTGGAGTGAGGGCGGGGAAAAGCTCATGATACCCTCCCGGGAAGTCAGAGGAATATGGCGGGTGAGAGGTGGCTCCATGAGAGAGTTGAGGTGCTTGGAACCAAGGCGAGATGACATCGTCTAGGAGGGAACAAGATGGCGGATCTTCAAGTCTTGGGAAGGAGCTTGAGAGGATTAGGGTGGGGAAGACTGGGCGAGTGGGTGAGAGTTGGCCTTGACCAGGAGAAGGACCGCCTGACCCTCTGAGAAGGAAGGGCAGGAGGGAGGATGGATATGGTCTCATTTGGGATTCTTCTGGTCAACCTGCAGTGGCTTACGTGGGATGGGAAGTTGGTGGCATGCCCAACTGAACATTTCAGGTGGTGGCTGCTGACGTCAAGACCTGCTTCCTCTCTTTTCCGTCTCTGGGCTGGCCATGGTAGCACCATGGCTGCTGCAGATTCGACCCTCCCAGCCTTGGGAGGTCAAGTCCATTCTAGCTCCCCAGTAGCTAGCTGGAAGTGTGGTTGGCGCTAATTGGCCTGCGCCAACTCGTGAGTCCTTCCCCGAACTAGTCCTTGTGGCTGGGAGGTGGAATGCACGAATTGACCCCAGGGCTGGGAGGACAGATGTCAAGGTCAACAGGCCTTCTGAGGGTGAGAGTGGGGAAATAAGGGCGGTTCATGGAAGTAGGGACTGATTCTGGGTACCGCAAACCATCAGATATCAGTCACAGCACAAGGACCGTGGGGCAGGTGGGCATAGAAGTGGGGAGTCAAACAAGCTCATGCCTTGATGACCTCGATTTTGGGAATGAAGAAAGAGTCCTGAGTAGAGAGGGCCGCTGGGGCTGACCCTTTCACTGGAGTTTGTGCAGTTATCAGTAGAGTCCGACCAGGCCTCTTTCTTCGGCCTCCTGATAGAGTTCTGCTTCCCTTTCCCTGCCTTCTTCTCGGCGTGGTTTCTGGCCAGAAACCCGTTGTCCGAAACCCAAGACGGGTGTTCGAGTGAGGAGTGAGCTTCCTCAAAACACAGCCAGAAACAACGCCCAGTGTCTTCAGCTGGTAAACCAGCCACGCCGACGCTATGAACCCCACGTGACAAGCCCTTTGTCTGCTGTGTCCTCAGGAGCAGGACATCGAGACTGTACATGGCTCTATCCATGTCACCCTGTGTGGGACCCCCAAGGGAAACCGGCCCGTCATCCTCACCTACCACGACATTGGCATGAACCGTAAGTTCTGGGCAGCTGCGGCTCCTGGTCAGCTCGTCCCTGAGAGGGTAGAGAGAAAGGCAAGCCTGGAAGGGATGGTGGCTGGGAGCTGGTGGGTTTTTTTTTTCCCCCTGGGACTTTCTGGACCTGTTCTGGGAAGAACTCTTGCCACAGCCTGGAGAAGCCAGAATGGCACTGAGTGTGAGTCGTCTGCGTGCCTGGAGGTGCTGCAGAAAGGGAGTGATGTGACAGTGATTTATACGTGAATGTGGACACACGGTCTTTAGTATTTTCACAGAGTGTGCAGCCATCAGTGCAATCAACTTGTAGAACATTTTCATCACTCCAGAGAGAAATCCTGTGTCCTTCCTCTGCTGACTCCAACCTTCTGTACCCTGGCTCTGGCGACCAGACACTCACCTACCTTCCTTCTCTGTGAATTTACCTGTTCTGGGGTTTTATATAAATGGAATCATATCCCATGTGGCTTTTGGTAACTGGCTTTTTCAGTGGTGTGAAGGTCGATCCGTGTTGTAGCATACATCAGTACATGGGCTGTGGAATAATCTTCCATGGGCTGGGTATGCCACACGCTGTCCGTCCAGCCTTTGGTTGATGGGCATTTGGGGCCTGTCCACTTTTTGCCTATTAGGAGTAATAGACGGTGAATTTTTAAGACTCCAGGAAGGGTTCCTGTAGGTGGGTGCCCCATTTTCTCATAGATGAAGATAGAAGGGGGTCTACTTGGTGTTAAAATTTCACAGAACCAGGTTGACCCTTTCTGTGGTGAATCAGAGGGAGCTTATGGTCTTCCTGGTCCGGCAATCTTCTTGAACTTGAGTACTTTGAGCTGGATGCTTGCTTGAGCTTAGATGGATGGACTGCCTGGTTTCATTCTTTCCCCCAGAAGCTTATTAAGTAATACCTCTATGCTGGCATGATTCAGTCACTGCAAACCACTCTTTCCCCTTTATTCTCACTTTTCTTTGGTCTCGCTCCTTCCTCTGTTTTCCCCTGTCCATGTTGTACTAGGCCTCATGTTGAGTGTTTTGATAGACATCTTATTTCACTGACTCAAACAAGGATGTGGAATTGCATATGGTGGTGTTCCACCTCCCCATTTAGAGAGGCACACTTTTGTTGCAGTAGGCTAACCGCTGTAACAAAACACCCCAAGTCCTCTGTGGCTTGGAACTATACATGTTCATTTCTCACTCCTGTAAATATTCAGTGAATGCTCAGGGGACACATTCCAGGGCCCAGTCTCCTTCCAGCTTGTGACTGTGCCCTCCTCCTGGGGCCTCACAGGCTTCCGCTAGCAACTCCTATCTGGCAGGGAGATGGGAAAAGAGAGGAACCTGGAGGAATGGGCAGCCGGTGTTGGGAGAAAATAGTGTCACATGGTGTTGGCCAGAAGCTGGTCACGTGATGGCCTCTTATTGCACGGGAGCCTGGGAAATGCAGACCAGCTATGTGTGCCCAGGAAGACGAGAAAGACAGCTGGGTACTCAGGCCCTCAGCAACTAGAAGATTCATCCACAGCCACACCGGTGGAGGAACCATGTTTTAATTACCACGCTCCTTCTGTTTGGAAAATAATTTTTTTTTTGAGTTGGGGTCTTGCCCTGTAACCAGACTGGGGTGCAGTGGCACGATCACAGCTCAGCACAGCCTCAACCTCCTGGGTCCAAGTGATCCTTCGGCCTCAGCCTCCCAAGCAGCTGGGACTGCAGGCATGCGCCATCACCCCCCGGCTAATTTTTTGCTTTATTGTAGAGATGAGGTCTCGCTATGCTGCCCAGGTTGGTCTCGACCTCCTGGGCTCACACAATTCTCCCGCTTCAGCCTCCCAAAATAATGGGATTGCAGGCATGGGCCACCACACCTGGCCCTTGTTTAAAAATTATGTGTGCCCCGGACAGTGATTTGGTAGACTCAGACAGAAAGAGGGTATCGATGGAACAACCCCACCTCGTGCCATGGCCATAGTGATCATCGCTGTCTTTGGACACAGCAGAAGCCAGCCCTGGGGCGCCTCAGTGCCAACTACAAGTTTAAGATTCATCTGCCGAACATCGCTCTCCTGTCCCAGGACTTATTCTTGCCTTTTATCCCCAGAGGAAAGTGAGAATGGGGAAAAAAAAGTCTGCATTCTCTCCTCCAAGTTCATGTCCCCTTGCTGAATCGGAGGTAAACTAACACAATGAATGTGCTTTGCCACCAAGCCAACACATTCTTTCCCACCTGACGTTTTTCTCATCTCTCCACCACCCGTTCTTCAGACAAAACCTGCTACAACCCCCTCTTCAACTACGAGGACATGCAGGAGATCACCCAGCACTTTGCTGTCTGCCACGTGGACGCCCCTGGCCAGCAGGACAGCGCTGCGTCCTTCCCCATGGGGTGAGAGGAGGGATTCCGTGCCCCAGGGCCCTGCGGGTAGAGTCTGGGGTGGGTAGAGGTGGTGCTAAGCTGGCTTGATGGTTGTGTATGTGGTGGGGGTTGTGTGTGAGTGTTAGGGTCTCACTCTGTCCCCTATGCTGGAGTGCCGTGGCACCATCATGGCTCATGACAGCCTCTACCTCCTGGGCTCAGGCAATCCTTCCGCCTCAGCCTCCCGAGTAGCTGGGGCTACAGGTGTGCACCCCCACGCCTGGTTAATTTTTTGACTTCTTGTAGAGACGAGTCTTGCTATATTGCCCAGACTGTTCTCAAACTCCTGGACTTAAGCAATCTTCCCATCTTGGCCTCCCAAAGTACTGGGATGACAGGTGTGAACCATCACGCCCAGCCAGCTGGCTTTTCTCTTTTGTTTTTATGATAATTGTTATTGCAGTAAGATATAAAATGTATCATTGTATCCATTTTTCATTGTGGTAAAATATATATAGCATAGGAGTTAGCATTTGATTCGTCTTTAAGTGCATACTTCAGGGACTTTAAGTACATTCAGATGTGGTGGTGCCACTGTCCCCACCATTTTTTGCATCTTCCTAGACTGAAACCCCATGCTCATTAGACACTGTCTCCTCATCCCCCTCGCTGTCCTTCCTGCGAGGCTGGTTTTATAAGTGGGAGAGAGTCTTGCTGTCACCAAACAGTGTGGAGAAAAACCTGGCAAGTTGGGAAGGAGAAAGAGAGGGAAGGAAATAATACTGATGAGCTCTGATTGTGAGCTGGACTCGATTATTTTTATTTTTAAATGCCATTTTTATTTGGTCCTTACGAGCTAGCTAGGTGTGACTGGTGCTCTCAGCTCCATTTTCCGGATGAAGAAACTGAGGCATGGAGGCATTCACTGCCTTCCTCAAGGTCACGTGGCTGCAAATTAGGAGAGGCGGGCTTTAACCCTGGTCTGCTGACCCTTAAGACTCATTTTGTCTTTGGAATAGCAGACTGTCCTGTTCCCGGGGTGTTTACCCAGCCTGGCCCTTCTCAGTGTGTGGCTGTCGCGGGGTGTGGCCCTTCAGTTTCCCAGTGTGCGGTGGTCCAGCTTGCTGAGTGCCCCAATCAGCGTCCCAAGCGGAAAGGCGGGCCTCAGAGACACACGCCCCCTCCCCCCTAATTCTGTGATTAGACCCTGGCAGAAACAGGTTCTTGGGTTTAAAGTCTTCCAGAAGGATCCTTCTTGGCATGTACAGATAGCTATGCTTTGGGGTTAGAGCTCAGAATTATCCTTAATAATTAACCCTTATCAGAGAGGAAGGGAAGGGGAAGCCAGCCAGACGAAGCTGGGACCAAAAATTAAAAGCCCACGGACACAGTGGGACGTGGTTAATTGTTAACCAGCCAACAGAGACGAGGTATGTCCGTAAATCCATCTTTGGTGGGACCAACTGTGTGAAAGGCTTAGGGTGGGCTCTTAGCTGCCCCTGGGGAGGTGTTCAAAATATTCTGAGGCCTGGGCCCCGCCCCCAGGAATTTTTATTCTGTTGATCTGGAGGCCGAGGGGCAGGGTGCTTTTTCCTCCCTGTTTACAGGTGACTGGGGTGTGCTCCTGGCAGGAATCGGGGCATGGCCTGCCTCAGCGGCTGCGGGGATATCCCTCTGCCTCCTGCTGTGCCTCCCACCCCTGGGGAGCAGGGATGGAGCCCCCCCCATGAAGTGACTTCCCCAGTGTCACACTTGGGCAGCTGCTGACTCCAAACTGAGCTGCAGCCATCTCAGGGTGGCTTGACCATTTTTTTCTCGTCTTCTGCCCAAAGGCTCTGTCGGCTCTGTGGTTCCATACGTGAGGCCATACCCTAGGGGCGCTTTCCAGCTCCCTCCAGGCCCTTTGCACATGCTGGCTCCCTGTCTACATTGTATTCCCTACACTCCTTTCTTATTGGGCTCCCACAACCCCTTCAGTGTCACTTCATCCAGGAAGCCCTCCCGGACCGCTTGATCACAACAAGACTCCCTGTTTCCGTGGTCGCTCTGAGCGCCCTGACTCCCCTCCATAGCCTCTGTCACCCATCATACCCCTCATGGCTGTTGACTTGCTGGCTGGCTCTCTTTGCTCAGCGGCTCCTGCCCTCGCCTTCCAAGTGGCTGGTGTGTGTAAGAACCAGTCGCTGCCTTGTTGATTGAATCCTTTCATGTGTGTCCGAGACTTCTGAGCTATCTTCTAGTCAGTGTAGTCCCTGTTCCTGCGGCACCCCAGGCCCCAAGCCAAGCAGACACAGAGAGGGCAGTGGCTTCTGGCTACCCCACCTTGGGGTCTGTGAGGACGGTGTCCCATCCTTCCGCCTCAGTGACATTGATCCTCTCAATCCTGGAAACATCATGGCGGCCTCAGAGAGCTATTGCAAGAATGGAAGGAGCTAGTCATGCTCATCGGATGCTTCCCTGGGCCGTGGAGCATGGGAAGCCATTGATAACCAGGGTGGAGATCTGGGGAGGAGGCGGGAAGGGGCCGGTGGGAGTCTGGGTGCTCGGGGGGAGGGGCTGCTGCAGGGCCTCTGGCCATTGAGCGTGTCTCCTTCGAGATGACCCCTTTCTGCTGGCGTTCGGGCTCTCGTGAACTCTGCGTTGTCCCCAGGTACATGTACCCCTCCATGGACCAGCTGGCCGAAATGCTTCCCGGAGTCCTGCACCAGTTTGGGTAAGAGCAGAGGATCAGCACCCCGCAGCTCGGTAGACGGGCTCCTGGCCTCTTCCCCTCCTTTGCTTCGATCTGGCCTGACTGCTACAAAGTACACTGCAGTTTAGAAAGTAGGCAAGAAATGGGCTTGGCGTTGTTCCCTGCGGTCTCTGGGCTCCCCACCACCTGGCCTCCTTGACTTCAGCTTTTTTTTTTTTTTGAGTTGGAGTCTCACTCTGTCACCCAGACTGGAGTGCGGTGGCGGCTCCCGGTCACCGCAGCCTCGACCTGCTGGGCTCTGGCCATCCTTCTGCCTCAGCCTTCCGAGTAGCTGGAATTACAGGCATGCGCTACCACACCCGGACGATTTTTGATTTATTGCAGAGATGAGGTCTCGCCAAGTTGCCCAGGCGGGTCTCGAACCTGCAGGCTCAGGCAATCCACTCACCTCGGCCTCCCAAAGAGCGGGATTACAGGCTGAGCCACCGAGCCCGGCGACTTCAGCTTTTCAATACTGTTCCTTGCAGCCTCTGAGCTCCAGCCAGCAACCCTGTAACTTCAGCTTTTTTTTTTCTTTCTTTGATTTGGAGGCTCACTCACTCCCTGGAGTGCAGTGGCACGCTCACGGCCACCGCAGCCTGGACCTACTGAGCTCAGGCGATCCTTCCGCCTCAACCTTCCAAGTTGCCCAGCTGGTCTATAACCAGAGGAACTTTAGCTTTTCAACACTGTTCCCTGCAACCTCTGAGCTCACCCTGTACCCCCGTAATTTCATCCTTTCAACATTGTTCCCTGTGACCTCTGAGCTCACCCCGGGCCCCCTCAACTGCAGCTTTTCTTGAGCAAATGTGTCACGTGATGTGATGACAGCCACCCCAGCTATCCTGCCCTTGCCTCTTGCTCTTGAAGTCCCCTCCCCTTCCCTGGAACATTCTGGAATAGGGGTGCCTGTGACTTTGTTTCTCCCCCAGCCCGTCGTCTTCTCGGCACTGCCCCTTCTTACGAGCCCCGGTAGGACCACAGGCATGATGATACTAGCCTCATGGTCCCGGTCCAACCTGTTTTCATTCCAAGTCTTTGAATCCAAGATAAAGCTCAAGACTGGGAGGAAGCCATGTGTAATGGGCTTTTCCCGTAAAGGTCAGACAGCCTCTCGAGCCTGGGTGGCTGCCAGGAGATAAGGGAGGGGGCCGGGCCAGGCTGCCCCAGGTTACGGGTCTCCGTCCAACCCCCAGGCAGGGCACCCCCCATGTCCCTGGGGCCCACACAGTTGACCCTGGGAAGCTGCAGGGTCATCCGGGCGCCTGCCGCTCCCGCCTTCTGTGACGTGCATTTGTGCTTTTGCTTCCAGGCTGAAGAGCATCATTGGCATGGGAACAGGGGCCGGCGCCTACGTCCTGACTCGATTTGCCGTGAGTTGCTTGGCATTTTCAAAAATTACATTTAATTACATTTTAGATAAAATTAAATCAAGATGAAAGAAGACATTTGAAAAAAGCATCCAAAAGCCCAAAAGGGGAAAAAAAAATGACCCACGTGCTGTGCAGTTATTTGCGCATGTGTGTGACGTGTGTGTTATGTACACACACTCACGACTTTTCCCCTCCGCCCCCGGAAGATGGTCCTGGACACATTCTTTTGTCATTGGCTTTGTTCACGTAGCTGTCTGGTCGGGCACTCCTTGCCCGCTGAGCGATCTTCTATGACACTTCTTTGTAAGAACCTCATTGTCTTTTCGTAGTCAGGATACTCCCAGATCCCGATTCCAATTTTTTTGGAGACAAGAGTCTCACTCTTTTGCCTAGGCTGGAAGGCAGTGATGCAATCATAGCTCACTACAACCTCCAATGACTGGACTTGGGCAGTCCTCCCACCTCAGCCTCCTGAGTCACTGGAACTATAAGCGTGTGCCATTATGCCTGGCCTTTTTTTTTTTTGTAGAGACACTTTGTTGCCTAAGCTGGTCTTGAACTCCTGGGCTCAAGCAGTCCTCCCACCTCGGCTTCGACTCTAAGTGCTGGGATTACAGATGTGCTCTGCCGCGCTCAGCCGGGGCGCCTTGACTTTTAACGTTCATGGCGTTTTAGATGGCCGGATTGTCTATCTCACCTGGTGTCTTGACTTACAGCTGAACAACCCTGAGATGGTCGAGGGCCTCGTCCTCATCAATGTGAACCCCTGTGCCGAAGGCTGGATGGACTGGGCTGCCTCCAAGGTGGGTCTGGGACGGTGTCAGGCAGGTGGGGTCCCTGCACCCAGAGAGACAGGTGTGTGCCAGGAGGAACCATGGGGCTACAAGCCCGCCCTTCAGTTCCCCTTCCCACTACCCCTGACTGCCCATGCCAGCAAAGAAAGCAGATTTCCTCTGCTTTGCTTAGAATAGTAAACTTGACCTTGGCTCTCTTCCATTCAGACGATTTAAATAGGCCTGTGCTGTCTAAGCCAGGGACGCCTCTGGGACACTTTGACAAGCGTTGCTCAGATCAATCAAGCATGAACCGGTACCTAACAGGTGCTGGGCTTTGCTCAAGATGTCAGGGACCTTGAGGAAAGAGACATCTTGACATGAACAAGACAGAAGTCTCTCATCTTAAGCATTCATATATTATTAATATAAAAGAAATACATACTGGGTACTATCTGTGCCACTGAATTTTATGGTGATAATTAGGTGGCGTTTATTGAGAGTTTAGCCTGTGTTGGTTCTAATCCGTGTTGCTACGTATGAGGGGAACCCCCAAAACCCGGAATTTATTTATAAAAACTGTATATTTATTCTTACATGTTTAAACTTTAGTCACCTTCAAAGTCTTCTCTGTCTGATGCAATGCACCTATTGAGGTGTTTTTCCAACTGCTCCAGACGGGTTTTGAACTCGTCCATTTTGCTGCCTTTTAATGCTTCTGCCCTTTTTGGGGTCACCTCTTCCACATCGGCAAAATGCTTCTCTTTGAGGGCTTTTTTCATCCGGGGAAGCAACAAAGAGTTGCTCAGGGCAGGATTGAGTGAATAAGGAGGGAGGGAGGGCATGGGGGGGTCAAAAACTGCCGAACACTCCACGTGGTGTGGGCAGGTATGTTTTCATGGTAGAAGAACCAGTCACCTGTTTGCCACAAACACATTGGCTGAAGCGGAACGCAGCCTCTCGCAACAATGCTAGCTGGTACCCTGATGCCGATAGGTTTCTGGAACCCAGCAGGGAGGCTTGTGCTTTAAAGGGCCCACCCACCCAAAGGTAGTTCAGCTGTTTTTGAGGGGTCACCCTCCTGTGCATCATCTCAATCCTCACAGTAACTCCAGGAGGTGGGAATTTTGATCACGGCCTTACAGAGGAGGGAACTGAGGCTTGAAGGGGGTGAGGGCATGGTCAGGGTCACACAAAGTTGGCAGTAGAACTGGGACTGGCTGCAGGTGACTTGGACTCCTGGCCTGTGACTTGAACGTCCCTGTCCCTGGGCTCCTGTCCAGGGGGGGGAAACAGGCAGGTCTGGGTGGGCGGGATAGGCAGCCTGGAAGGGGAGCCATCTTGGGAAGCTCTGCCCTAGCTGGTGTCCTAAGGTTTTTTATCTTTCAAAAATTACTAGTTTTTTTTCTTATCTGTAAAGATCCAAGAGTTTTCCAGGGAGAGGGGGCAGTCACTCCAGCTGAAATAGGACAAAGCCTTTCAAGCCAGGGGCCCCTGGCTTATGCTTTTGAAAGTGTGTTTTTTGCCGGGCTCGGTGGCTCAGCCTGTCATCCCGCGCCTTTGGGAGGCTGAGGTGAGTGGATGGCCTGAGCCCGCGGGTTCGAGACCCGCCTGGGCAGCGAGACCTCATCTTTACAATAAATCAAAAAATCAGCCGGGCGTGGTAGCGCGCGCCTGTAATTCCGGCTACTGGGAAGGCTGAGGCGGAAGGATCGCCGGAGCCCAGCAGGTCGAGGCTGCGGTGGCCGGGAGCGGCCACGGCACTCCAGTCTGGGCGACAGAGTGAGACTCCGACTCAAAAAAAAAAAAACAACAAAAAACGAAAGTGTGTTTTTGCCAAGTTTGGGGGGACGGACGGAGGCAGAGGGTTGGAGGGGTTGTGCCCCGGCCCCGCCTCCCCCCCATCCTGGCCACTCTGAGGCTGGATTTTTTTCCTTGAACAGTCTGCCAGAAGGTGGGGGCCCTTCCCTCCTGCCGGCGTGACATTCAGGAGCGGAACACACTCCCTGTTTTTCATTTGATTTTCCAGCAGAGGAAGTGACATTCCAGTCGGCCAGCTGAGCTCCCTGGTGGCCGATCTGAGCCAGACTTGAACGGCTGGGGACATTGACCCCTGGCCACATGAAGCCTGAGGAATGTGTGTGGGGTTTTAATGTCTGCACCATAACCCTCGTTTTCAACCCCAGCCTTGGAGAACCAAGACCTCTCTCAAGGGCCTTCTGTGTGCCGGGCCTGATGTCAGACACTGATATACATGTCGTCCCGTCTTTTCTTTTTTTTTTGAGTCGGAGTCTCACTCTGTCGCCCAGACTGGAGTGCAGTGGCCGCTCCCGGCCATCGCCGCCTCCACCTGCTGGGCTCCGGGGATCCTTCCGCCTCAGCCTTCCGAGTAGCCGGAACTACAGGCGCGCGCTACCACGCCCGGCTAATTTTTGATTTTACTGTGGAGAGGAGGTCTCGCCAAGTTGCCCAGGCGGTAGTCCCATCTTAACCTTGTGACTTTGAAGTTCCTGTCACCCCCGGTTACTGATGAGAAGTCTGAGACCCAGTGCCATGCAGCTGGGACGCATCAGTCAGGGCCCGCCGAAGCCACCCACGTCTAGATTCCTCTTCCCTACCAGTTCTTGGCTGATGCTGAAGTCAGTCAGCACACATTTATGGAGCTCCTGCTATATGCTAGCATTTATGGAGCTCCTGCTGTATACCTAGCTTTATAACTAGGGCGAGGTAGCGAAGAGAAGGATGTCAATGTCTGTAGTTGCCTTGATCTGTTTAGAGAGGAAACAGCGGGAGGATGATAGAGAGTTGGGAGCCAGCATATCCTGGGGTCTAGACTGTGGAGGTTTGTGTGTGTTAAGAAGAGGCAGATGGGAGCCCTCTTTGCTGGAGACTTGGGGAACTTTTAGAGCGGGGTAAGCGAGAAGATAGTTGGGTGTCCACTCAGCACCCATTTGCTGAGCATCTCCTGTGCACAGGGATCAGGATGAGGAAATGGGCAGAGCAGTGGGCCCCGGTGCCTTCCGGGACTCGGCTCCAGCAGGGAACCGGAGAGTTTCCATCAAGAAGGGTGTCCTTGAGACCTGAACACAGGAGCCGGGGCGGGGGGATGGGGACAGCCCAGCAGGGTCCCTCTCTCCCCAGGGTGAGGGCTTTCACTGACCTCGTTCGCTCCTGTTGTCTACTGGTTCCTACCCCGCCTGCTTGAATTTCCCCAGATCTCCGGATGGACCCAAGCCCTGCCAGACATGGTGGTGTCCCACCTCTTTGGGAAGGTGAGTGGCCTGGCATGCCGCCGTCCACGCTGAGTCACTGGTTGTGGGGTGCTCATCCCAGGGGCCCACGGGGATCAGATGGGCAAGGCTCGATCAAGCAGGGGCTGCCGTGCTGATGTCCCTGGAGTAGTGTGACAGTGCTCATTCGTGGGCAGCGGTCACTCACGCGCTCTTTGTATACATTGATCTTTCTTTCCCTTTTTTGGAAGTAGGACTTATTGAGAGGACAGAAAAGCTCCCAGAGCAGGAGGGGACCTGAGGGGGTTGCCCTGTATACATTGGTCTTTCTAAACAGCTTTGTTGAGGCAGGATGAACTGTATATTTGGAGTGTACAGTTTGCTGACTGGCATCTGTGTGGACAATGCCACCATCCCAAAAGTGTCCCTGTGCCCCTTGGTGACCCTCCTTTCCCAGATGACTTCTGATCTGCTTTTGGTCACTATAGATTAGATTGCAATTCTTAGGATTTTAAAACAGCATCATACAGTATATACTCTCTCTCTCTCTTTTTTAAATGTGGGTCTGTCTTCTTTGACTCTACATAATTATTTTGAGATCTATCTGTCTTACTGAGTGCATCAGTAGTTCATTTCTAGGTTGGGCATAGTGGCTCCTGCGTGTAATCTGAGTGCTTTGGGTGGCTGAGGCAGGAGAATCACTTGAAGCCAGGAGTTCAAGACCAGCCTGGACAACAGGCTGGTCTTTTTCAAATCTCTGTCTCCCTTTTTTTTTTCCTCTCTTTTTCTAATTTGAGTCAGGTTCTCACTCTTTGGCCCAGGCTCAAGTACAGTGTCATGATCACGGCCCACTACAGCCTCAGAGTTAGGGGCTGGAGCGATCCTCCTGCCTCAGCCTACCTAGTAGCCGGGACTGCAAGCATGTGTCACCACCAGCCAACTAATGTAAAAAAAATTGTAGAGATGAGGTGTCACTGTGTTCCCCAGGCTGGTCTCGAACTCCTGGGCATAAGTGATCTTCCCGCCTCAGCCTCCCAAAGCACTGAAATCACAGGCATGAACCACCACACCCAGCCTTATCCCCCTTTTTTGAGTGGTTAAAAGATTTGCCCGAGAAAGGGACAGCGGTAAAGCTGAGGGCTCCACCCGGGAGGGCCGGCTGCACATCAAAGCCTGCCTGCCAAGCAGTGAGCCCAGAGGGTGAGCTCCACCCCTCCAGCCCGGGTTCCTTCCTGCTCTCAGCCAATGGCCAGCCCCCATCTCATCCGGGTCCGGGTGTGCTCCTGTCTCAAAGGTCTCTCTCAGGTCCACAGCGGTCTGGGGGATGAGGCATGGTCGTCTTTACTTTGTCCCTCGAGAACCTGGGGAATGGAGAGGGGGGTGGGTGGTCAGGCCAGGGCCCCACATGGTGAAGGATGTTCCCACCGCTGTCGTGTAGGAGGAAATGCAGAACAATGTCGAGGTCGTCCACACCTACCGCCAGCACATTGTCAACGACATGAACCCCGGCAACCTGCACCTGTTCATCAATGCCTACAACAGGTATGGCCGCGACTGCCTCGCCAGCTCCGTGCGGGCACTCTGTGGAGGCCTGCGGCACGGGTCAAGGCGGGGGCTGTGAGACCAGTGGAAAATGCAGACCCTGAATTTGAACAAACACGTGGACAGGACGGGGTGCCCGGGGAGGAGGCCCCGTGTGGAAAGGGCTTCCTGGCCTGGGGGAGCCTTGCGTGGATCTGAACTGCCACTCCAGACCCCGGCGGTGCAGACGTGAGGAGGGACGTGGTCATGCACTCGAGGGTTGGGAGTCGATGCGTGTGCCCGTGACCGGCCCTTACGGGAGGCCAGATGTGAGAAGATGGAAGGGAGGCAGCCACAAAGCATTCTGGAAGGGTGGGAGGCATCCCGGGAGGCTTTTCGGAGGCCAGCTTGTCATGCCGAGGATTAGGAGGTCTTCAAGGCAGCCTTTGGCCAAGGGGCAGCCCTCTCAATGATCTCTAGGTGTTTATGGGCGTTCAGACAGGAGAGGGGACAACTCAGGGCCGCTGGTGTCAGCCAGAGATTCTGGAATCTTCCAGGGAGCTCACTCAGCCTGCTGAGCTGTTCTGCGATGCTCCCAAGACGGGACAGGAACAAGCCTCGTGGAGTTTGTCTTGCTCAGATGTTAATAACTTGACTTCCCGAAGGGCGTTAGCGTTTGTAACAGACTTTAGTCTCTGTCTCCTTTTATGATCTGGTCAGTATCTCAGCACAGGAGGAAGTGGTAATGTCCCCACTGTGTAACTGAAAAAACAGGCTCGGGCGGCCACCCATCCATTAAATACAGGCTGAGCTGGAGGGAGTCGGGTTCCCAGCTGGGCCACGGGGACCCAGAGGAGACCAGCACAGCCCACACCCCACACTCTTCCCCACCCTCCGGGAGAGCACAGCAATGATGACCCTTCCAGAAGCCCCCCTGTGAGGGCTTTCTTGCTGGGGAAGCCAAGGCACAGAGAGGTTGAGCATTCTACCCGCTGTCACATCACTAGGGATTAGTGGAGCATGGCTTGAATCTCACATGTCAGCTCTAGGCCATGAGCTGGGAAGAAGCGTCTCCTAATGGCTGCTGCCTGGTGGCAGGGAGGGTGGGAGTCCACGTCGTGTGCAGGGGAGGGTGGTTGGCCCTGGGCTGGGCCCGTGGGGGGCCTCAGGCAAGTATAGCAGGCAAGCCCTGGAGAGTTGGAAATGAGGGACGACAAGATCAGGTCTGAGCCTTAAAGAGGTCGGGTGGCTGCTCTAAAGAGGACTCAGAAAAGTGGAGGCTGGGAGGCCATTGGGGGGGCTGGTCCACTGACCAGGCGGGGTCTCTGGCTAGGAGGAGCGGAGGTGGAGTCTGTCCATAGAGGATGTGATTTGACTCTGGTGGGCTCAGTGACATGGGCCCTGCTGGACGTAGGTGAGCCCTGCTGCCCTATTAACGTTTTCGCGGACACCAAGGGGCTGTGGTGTCCTGAAAGCTGCAGGACTTTGCATAGCTTGGGGATGGGTCGTCGGCCACAGGCCCCCGGCAGGACGTCCTGGGCGTGGTGGTGAGAGCGGGCTTCGTCTGGGGAGCGTCTGCGGGTGCTAATGACGCCCTCGTTGCCTGCAGCCGGCGGGACCTGGAGATTGAGCGGCCGGTGCCGGGAACCCACACAGTCACCCTGCAGTGAGTTGCTTCTCCCCACCTTGCAAGCCGGCTGTCCACGGGCTGTCCGGCTTTCCCACAATGCCCACAGGGCCTTCTTACCTCCCATGCTTGTGCTTGGGGTGGGACATCACAGTCAGTGAGAGCTGCCTTCTATCTGGGGAGAGAGCACGGCCCCCTCTGACTCTGACTTCTCCCATCAGCCCCTGGGGTGTCCTCATGACCTAGGGAAGAGCCTTCAATCTTGGAGAAGAAATGATGACCATACACGGGGCGGCACTGATTAAACAGCTGCTGTGTTCCGCTTTGCTTTGCAAAACCTAGAAATGGAAGACCCAGGACCCACTCTTAAAGTGCTCCACTCTAAGCCTAGGAGGAAAAACCAGTAGGGGGACACAGCTCCCGTGAGGTCAGCATCTGTTTGTGGTTCCTTGAAGGCACCACATTGCCAAATTGGCGATTTGACACCTCATTTCCTGTGTTGTTCACACGGTTCTTGTCTCTCTCAAAGACCTGTAAAACCCTGTTCATCCATCCTTGAGGAGAGGGTGCTTTAAAATAACATCAGGGCACAGAAATTCCTTGACTGAAATTCATACTAAGGTGTAAATGACTACAATCCCATGTGTCCTAATGGTAAAGCACAGGAGGGGAGGAGAATGAAGTTAAAAGAGCAGAGGGCACTGGGAAAACCAAAATAAATTTTTCTGAATCCTGGTCCTGGCCTGGCAGGCCTGGGAGGGTGTGACACTTTAAGCGAGCCCTGTGCTAACTCCTCTCCCATCTCCCCCTGACCCCAGGTGCCCTGCTCTGCTGGTGGTTGGAGACAACTCACCCGCCGTGGACGCTGTGGTACGTGGACGTGGACTGCTGGTTTCTGTGTTGAGTTCAGCCGGGCAAGCCTGGCTGGCTTGATGGAAAGCCTCCCTGTCCGCCCCTCCCCTCCCCTGCCCCATTAGGGCAAGTGCTGTTATTGAAATGCCATGTTGGCCTCTGGGCAGAGGGCCCAGCCTCCAGTCTGCCCTGGCTGCTGGGCCGCTGGCCTTCTCTCCAGGTGCCTCCCCTGCCGATCTGCCTCCCTTTGGCTGGTTTCTGTGGGTACATTGGCCTCTTGGCTTCCAGGTGGGAGCCTCTCACTTGGGAAGTGGGCGGGTCCTTGGAGCCTGACCGTCCAGCAGGGGAGAGACACACCTGGGAGGCAGGTGTGGGTAATGCTCTCTGAATTCCCTGAATTGTGGAGGTAGAGAGAGGACTCTGCCTTCCTGCCATCCTCGCAGCTGGGGAGATGGGAGCTTAGGGGCTGCTCATCAGAGTCTCGAAGTGGTGGTGTCCCTTCCGCGAGGTGCACGGTGAAATGTGCCGGGTGTTCGTGGAGTAAGGGCCTGGGGTGACTTACACACCATGGGTTTCTTGGGGGATGAACCCCTGGAGGTAATTATGGGATACATGGATAGAGATGGATTGTTCACATCAAGGGAGGTGATCGTCTGCTTCAGGCCTTTTGAGGATCACCGATTGCATATGGGTCTTCTGCCTGATTCTGGCTACCACTTTCAAGGTCACCGACAAAAGGAAGACAGAAACCAGCGAGTGATTCCGGCTCGAGATATAAAATCAATGCATTCAGAGTTATTAGGCCTGTGGACTTTCTGGCAGCCGCTTGTAATGGGGCTATTTATTTAGCAGATGTTTCTGGAACACCTTCTGAGTTTTAGCTACTCTTCATAGCAACCCTCTGGGGGGAAAAATATATTATTCCCATTTTTATTTATGAGAAAACTGAGGCTCAAGGAAGTTAAGTCGCTCATCCAGGGTCCCCCGGCTGGCAATGGCTGGGTTTGGACTTAAAGTCACATCTGCGTGACCCCAAAGCCCACGTTCTTTTTTCTGTGCCAGTGAGAGCACTGATGTTTCTGGTGACAGTGGTGGGGTGCCCATGCGGAAGGGGGAAGGATTTTGACTTCGGCTCCAGGTAGGAAATGAACACATGTCTTCCCTCTCGCCCAGGTGGAGTGCAACTCGAAACTGGACCCAACAAAGACCACTCTTCTCAAGGTACGGGGGAACCTCAGGGCTTGCATTCCATTCGGGGTTTCTTAGAAACCCCCACGATTTCTGCCTGAATACGGCCAGGCTCAGGGGCTGAGGCCATAGAATTAACGATTTACTGGCTCTTTTGACAAACGTCTGCTGATCCAGGCCGGCGGTCTGAGGCTGCAGAGATGAGAGGGTCCCTCTCTGGGGCTGCAGGAGTCTCTGGGGATAGATAAGCCAGCAACGCCTGGCGGGCGAGAGGTCTCCCTAGGGTAGAGCCAGGACCTCCCTCCGAGAGGGACTGTGCTTGTCCCGTTAGGGAGATGTTTCCTGAGGCTGCGGAGTTCGTCTGAGCACCCAGTAACTAGACTGGAGGGTCTGCAGCTGCCCACGCCAGGGCCTGGCGGTCCCGGGCGATGGCATCGTGGAAACTGCAGACTGAGCAGCAGCCTTTCAAGGTGCTGCACGAGTGTGGGAACCTTTCAGAGAGGCCTCCTGGGTGCACCCATGGGGGCGGGTGACCAGGAAGGACCTGTGTGGAGGTGAGGCAGCACCCGCATTGGGGGAAGTACAAGAAGGTGGCACCCATAGGTCGCTGTCCCCTCATCCCCCATCAGACAAACTGCGTTTGAAAGGCACCAGGGGTGTCCTGCACTTCTTGAGTGGGAAGCTGTTCCTCTCTGGACTCTTTTCAGACTTTTTTTCCCAAGACTCCCTCAGAAGGAAGGTATAAGATAAGTGCACGCTGAGCTTCAGGTCTGAGATGTGCCAGGATGTGCCACAAACCGAGTGACTTAAAACAGCAGAAATGTGCTTGCTCGTGGTTCTGGAAGCTGGAAATCCAGAGTCAAGGTGTTGGTAGAGCCATGCCCCACTTGAAGGCACTGGGGGATGATAATCCATCACTCTTCCAGCTCCTGGAGGCTGGCATCCACAGTGTCCCTTAGCTGTGGCTGCATTACTCCAGTGCCAGCCTCTGTTGTCTGTCACATGACACTCACCCTGCCCATCCCTGTGTCTGTGTCCCCATGTCCCTGTTCTCTTAAGGATTGGATCAGTCATTGGATTTAGAGCCACACATCCAGCAGGACCTCATCTTGACTTGACTGTGCCCTCAAAAACCCTAGGTTCAAATGAGGTCACAATCATAGGTATCAAGGGTTAGGACGTCCTTGTATTTTGGGAGGATATCAACCCACAGCCCGCAAGGAAGGTGGGTGACCAGACCAAGGTCGGGTGGCCGAACCTACTTCCGCCTGATTCTAGACAGACCCCCACTGTGCTGGCCTGCTCTGCTGAATTGTCCCAGAAGTTGAACTTGAAGTTCCTTGTATTCTTACAGGGCTGAGGGCTGCGCGGGCTGGTGTGGCCTTGTGGCTGGCACCCAGGATTTTAATATATAGTGGGTGTGAGTGCCACTATATATTAAAAAAATATATATATATATATATATTTTTTGTTTGTTTGTTTGTTTGTAGAGATGAGGTCTTGCTATGTTGCCCAGGCTGGTCTCCAACTCCTGGGCTCAAACAATCCTCCCACCCTAGCCTCCCAAAGTGCTGGGATGACAGGTGTGAACCTCCACGCCCAGCCTGGTGTGGTGGTTGAATAGGAACTTTGAGAGTCACAGATCCAGGAAGGGAGGTCGGGCAGGAGCCCTAGAAGGCTTGAAGCCTCAACTCTGACAGTTTCTTCCTGTGAGAACTTTTCTTGGGATTGTACGTGACAGGCCTCATGCATCGAACCCGCTCAGGTCAGGCAGATACTGGCCGAAATCTTGCAAGTTCCTCAAGCTCTCTCTGCCTCTGAACTGGGACAGTCATACCTTCCGTGGTTCTTGGAGAATGCGGTGAAATGTTCTGCAGGGGTTAGCCTCGTTCGCGGGTGCTCCGAGTGAGGGTTGCCATGGAGACAGCATGGCCTTGCTAGGGGACTGGGATGCTCCCACCTGTGGTCTGCTCAGGTTCCCATCCCAAGGCAGGGCAGGCCAGTGCCCGTCAGGACTCTGCTCACAGAGCGCGGAGGGCCAGTGGCCTTGGGTACGGCACTAACCTGTTCCCTGCCTCCTAGATGGCGGACTGTGGCGGCCTCCCGCAAATCTCCCAGGTGAGTGCCACCCTGGCTTCTGCGTTCACACGGGCCGCCTCTCCCATGTGGAGTGTCTGTACCTTGTAAATGCCTTTTCCCTCGCTGCCTCGTGGTGACATCGGGTGACGGACGGTGGGCACGTTACTGTTGATGGAAGGTGCTCTCCCGCGGGGACTCAGTGGCTCCCCCAGAGACGGACCCCTGTGGAGTAGCTGACACTGGGGCTCACAGAGGTAGACACAGCATGGTCACCGTGGGTCAGACAACCCCAACAAACTCGAGTTCAGGGCACAGGGGTGTGGAGGAGATTAAACCAGATTTGTGTGTGTGTGTGTGTGTGTGTGTGCGCGCGCGCACGCGTGCATACACGTTTATGTCTGTACATATGTGTGCACACGAGTGTGTGCTCATGTGTTTTATGTATACACGCGAGTGAGCACATGTATGCATGTCTGCCTGCATATATGCATGAGTGTGCATGTGTGTATGAGTGCGCACATGCATGCATGTGGGTGCATACATGTGTACATGAGTGTGCATGTATACGCAAGTGTGTGCACACGTGTGTGTTTGCATGTGTGTGCATGTTTATGTGAGCGTATATATGTGTCTCTGTGTATGTGCACATATGTGTGCATTTACACAAATAAACCCAGCATGCAATGTAAGGTGTTTGCTGTACAATAACGGACCCCTTCAGTTCCCCTCCCGTGAATAGCTCCACCGTCCTCACAGATGAACTGTTCATCTATATTCCTATAATTAAATATCACAAGAGTTGTGCATTCATCTTAAGGTGAAATATTATGTGGACTTTTTGTCATCTCTTTTCTCCAAACGCTGCCCTGTCTTCTGTCTCTCTCCTTGACTTCCTTTTTCTACTGGAAGCCAGAGCAGCTCTCACCCTGGCCATAATGAGAACGCTTGTCCGATGCCTGGCAGGAGCTCGCCGAGCTGAGGCTTCCAGGCAGCCAGCGGAGGGTGGGCTGTGTCCTGTAGAGTCCCCTCGCCGGTGTCCTCTGCGAAGGGCTTTCCCCTCCTTGAGTCAATCAGGTTCTTGCCACAGTCTTCAGAGGTCGGAGGAGCAAGCACTCCATTCCAGTGGCACGGAAGGGGAAATTGAGGCTGAAAGCTAGGAAGGATTGCCCAGGCTGCCCCCGAGCCAACTTCGGGCTCCGGGGTCTCACTCCCACACGCGTACTCCTGGTCACCTCCGTCGTCACGAGTGCGACGCCCCTGCGCTCCAGCCCTGACATGCTCCTTGTGTCCCATCTTCCCGTGTCCCACGCGTCCCCCAGGAGCTCTACTCTAGATGCCGCCTGGTCCTCGAGGAATCCTGGCAGGAGTGGGGGTGGTGTGACAGCACCGCCCCCACCTGGGCCTCTCACTGTCCCAGGAGAGCGCACCCAGCGCTGGGTCCAACGTGGAGTCCCTGGAGACTGTGCCTGAGCAGTCACCTCCCGGTGTGGAGTATTCCGGGTGGAGTGGTAATGGGTGGAACGGGTGTGACCTTGCATTCCCCACTCAGTCCACTCAGTGTTGCCCAGGTGGTTAGCTAGGCAGTGGGTTTGTCCAACCAGCCATCCCCTCGTCCATCCTTCTTTCTGTTCTGTCTTCCGTCTTTCCCTCCTTCCTCTTACAGTCCTTCTTTCCATCTTTTTTCTTTCCGCCCACCCATCTCTTTTTCCTTCCATCCATCCATCTATCCTTCATCCTTTATTTTGTTCTGTCCACACGTGCCTTGGGCCAAGCTCTCGAGTGAAGGTGACTGTAGTCTCAGCTCCATATGGCCTTGGGTGACCATGGGCAGAGCTCTGTGTGGCCTCAGGTGACCACGGACAGAGCTCCAGGCGGCCTCCGGTGATCTGACCCCCACGACCGACGGCGCTTTCTGTTCTTGTCTTGTAGCCGGCCAAGCTCGCTGAGGCCTTCAAGTACTTCGTGCAGGGCATGGGATACAGTGAGTATGGCATGCCCGGGGTGTCGCAGGTCAGGCAGGTATGGGAATGGGAAAAGCGGGGGCTGGACCTGGGTCTCAGGAGTCTTCTGTGTCACATTAGCCAGCCTCAGCTTTCTGCAAGTTGGGCAGGGCAGAGGAAGAGCCATCTAGGCAGGTGCCTGGTCTGGAGGGCCTCGTCTCTCGTTTACACCAGTTTACCCTTTCCTCCTTTGTTGAACATGAGTCATTTCACGCCAGGGCTCTTTGGGGGTTTCGATGAGGACTGTCCCTTTAAGCACCAACAAGACAGTAAACAGTGAAACAATGGAAATTCTTTAATTTTGTTGGCACGGTCTGGAGAGACCACAAGTGAAGGGATGATGGTGAAAATGCGATGGTGGTAATAACGAAAGATTATTAACATCCTTGATTCCCTCGTTAACCATCTCCATTATGCTGAGATCTTCTTACCTCATTTTCCAAATGATGAAACTGAGGCTTGGAGACTTTAAGCAGGAAGCAGAGAGGATCTGCATTCTCTTTGAAAACTGTAAAGTGTGTACATGGTTCATAAAATTGCTTATATTCGAGGGAGAGCCTGTCTTTGCCAAGTCATGAGCTCTGGGAATTTAAGGAGAAATAGAAGCATCATTCAGGAACTTGCTACTTCTTGCTTTATAGTTGTTGCTGTTGGTTTTTTTCTTTTTTGTTTGGGTCTCACTCTGTTACCCAGGCTGAAGTGGGTGGCATGATCACAGCTCACTGCAGCCTCGATCTCCTGGGCTCAGGTGATCCTTCTGTCTCAGTCTCCCAAGTAGCTGGGACTACAGGTGGGCGCCACCATGCCCAGCTCATGTATTTTTTTATTTTGTAGCCATGAGGTCTCCCTATGTTGCCCAGACTGGTTTTGAACTTCTGGACTTGAGCAGTCCTCCCACCTCAGCCTTCCAAAATGCTAGGATTACAGGCATGAGCCACAACGCCTGGTCTTATTTGTTAACTGGACCTATCCAGCCCTCTTTGCAGAAAGGCCGTCCCTTTCTGAACTAGGGCAGACACTGTTAAGGTAAACACTCTGTTAAATAGTGTCCACAGTCAGACCTGGTGGGTACTTTAGCCATGGCCTGGCTCTAAAATGACGCTTTGGGCTTTTTCTGCTTACTTTTTAATGCCAACTTGTGTGCCCATCCTAACTAGGAGGGCTTTGAACCTCTAAGCTCTCCACTTTTTTCTTTAAACTGTCTGCCTGTGAAAGATAGTAACAGTGTGTTTGGTAAACCCACTGCCGTCTTAAGATTGGCATCAGCCGTGTCCAAGTCTAGCTAGGTGGGGAGAGGGTCAGTCTGGCTCACGTGCCCCGGCGGATGCCTGTCCCGAGGTGCCCTTGCCCGACAGAAAACATCTGCCTGGGGCTGCCGGCCTTTCCTGTGGGAGGCGGGAGGGCAGGGCCGTAACTCGGCACTGTTGACCTAGCTGGGTGTGCATCGCGGCGCTAGTTTCTCTTGGATCTGCCGTGGGTTTGGATTTCTGCTTTGAGGGTGCATTCTGGGGAGAGACAACTGAAAGCCAGGCCTCGCGCCTTCCCCCTAGACCAAAAACATCCATTTCCAGAAAGCCAAAACATCCTTCGGTCTTGGGGAAAATAGCAGAAAGAGGCTTGGTCCCAAAGGCATCCCCCAAAGAGGAAGAAAGGAGCCAGCCACTGAGTTCCCACACACAGTGGGGGGCGGCTGGGACTGACCCGGCCCTCTGCACATCTGACATCAGTGTGGCTTCGCCTCGGCCCTGGGATCCTGGTCCGTGGAGCTCCCCAAATTGGGGGCAACAGATGGAGGCTCAGAGAAATATGTGACCCCGATGTGGACTTCACTCTGATTATTTCTGGATCCAGAGCTCGCTGGTTTTTTTTTTTTTTTTTTTTATTTGAGTCTCACTCTTTTGCCCAGGCTAGAGTGCAGTGGCATGCTCGTGGCCAGCACAGCCTCGACCTGCTGGGCTCAGGCGATCCTTCCATCTCAGCCTTCCAGGCAGCTGGAACTACAGGCGTGCACCACCATGCCCAGCTAATTTTTGGATTTATTGTAAAGACGAGGTCCCGCCAAGTTGCCCAGGCTGGTCTCGAACCTGTGGGATCAGGCAATCCTCTCACCTCTGCCTCCCAAAGTGCTGGGATTACAGACGTGAGCCACCATACCTGGCTAGAACTCACTCTTTAACAAATACTCAGCACAGCAAGGATGAGTTCTACCTGGGAGCATCTGCATCCGAAACTGAGCCCTGCGCCCATCTGGCCAATAACAAGGTCCTGTGCGAATGCCTGTGTGCCTGTTGCCTCAACCTCCAGTGTCCTGGACCCAGTGTAGCCTTCCCAGCGGTCATCATGCTGCTGCCTGGCGGGGTATTTGTGCCCCAGGGCTAACCTAGCAGATCCCTGCAAGCTGGGTGGCTTAGAACCACAGGAATTCCTTCTCTCTCAGTTCTGAAGGCTTCACGCCTGCAGTCAGGGGTCAGCTGAGCCACGTTCCCTCTGAAGGCCCATGGCGAGACCCCTCCCTTGCCTCTTCCTAACCTCTGCTGGCCCCAAAGGCTCTCGTTGGCTTGTGGCTGTGTCTCCCACATCTCTGCCTCTGTCTCTGCGTAACTTTCTCACCTGTGTCTCTCTGTGTCCCCTTCTGTTTTCTTCAGTTGAGGTCTCACTCTGCCGCCCAGGCTGGAGTACAGTGGCAAAATCACAGCTGCCACAGCCTCAGGCTCTTAGGCTCAGGCGATCCTTCCCCCTCAGCCTGCCGAGTAGCTGGGACTACAGTGCACATCACTGTGATCTGATTTTGTAGCGATGAGGTCCCGCTGTGTTGCCCAGGCTGGTCTCAAATTCCTGGGCTCAAGCAATCCTCTTGCCTCGGCCTCTCAAAATGCTGGAATTACAGGCATGAGCCACCCTGCCTGGCCCCTCCTCTTTTTATAAGGACACCATGGTGTTGAGTTTAGGGCTCACCCTAAATCCAGTACGATTTCATCTCAAGATCCTTAATATATGAAAGGACCCTGTTTTGGGGGGGTCTTTAAGAAGGTCACGTTCTGAGGCCACGGACGTGAATTCTGGGGGATACTTCAACGCAGCTTGGGTGGGGGAATGCTTTCTCTTCATTCCACTCAGCCAGCGCCTGCAACATACAACGGCGTTTTAAGTCTTAGATCCCCAAAGAAGGGACAGCGCCCTTGCCAGTACCTGGGACAACAGGATTTGGGAGGAAAGAGAGATGACAGCTAACAGCTCTGCCATGAACTAGCCATGTAGCCTCACTCTCGCCCCCTGTGAGGTACAGGGCCGAACCTAGCTGACCATCAGCGTCCCCCCGCCCCAGGGTGGTCCACAGTATGGGTGTCCACACAGGTGCGGTACCAGGGGGCTGTCCCTTGTGTCTCCACATTATAGTTGGGGACAGAGAGGCTCAGGGAGGGTCATCCCCGTCTCAACACCACACAGCTGTTCAGCAAAAGGCAGAATTGGGATTCACACCTCGATATGGGTTCCACCCATGTGCTCTGTGACCGCGGCAAGCCCCTGACGTATCCACCTTGCTAAGTGGACACAGACATACCGGGGAGCCCAGGGGCCAGAGGGCAGCAAGGATCAGGGGAGGACACTTGAGAATGCTGGGCGGGGCTGGGTGCTTGGGAGGGTATCGTGGCGGGTGGGCAGGGGCGTCCGGTCCCTCCCGTGCTCTGACCAGCTGTCTCCCGTCTCCAGTGCCCTCTGCCAGCATGACTCGTCTGATGCGGTCCCGCACAGCGTCCGGGTCCAGCGTCACCTCCCTGGACGGCACCCGCAGCCGCTCCCACACCAGCGAGGGCACCCGAAGCCGTTCCCACACCAGCGAGGGGCCCCGCAGCCGCTCCCATACCAGCGAGGGGGCCCACCTGGACATCACCCCCAACTCGGGCGCCACCGGGAACAGCGCCGGGCCCAAGTCCATGGAGGTCTCCTGCTAGGCGGCCTGCGTGACCACCTCCC